AAAAAAAAAGGAGCCCATCACCAGAAGAAGAGCTCAGACACGCAAGAAGGCGAAATACAGGAGGGGAGGGGGGCAGATTCCAAAAGGCGTCCCTGAGCGGGACGATGCCAGTCTGGACACCCCCCTCCCCATCCTCTGTGAGAGAGGTCGTCACTTTTGCAACGTAGGGGTGGCGCGAGGCTAGTCTCCCACCCCCAACCCCGTCACCTCTGGTATCTTAGTTTTAAAGGACCCCCAAAAGATGCCCCGCTACCCCTCCCTTCGGGATGTCGATTTTGTTGTTGTTGTTGTTGTTGTTGTTGTTGTTGTTTTAAAGCCCCTGTCTACCCGCGGTATTTGGTTTGCGCGTCAGATCGCGCCGAATGGAGCAGCAGCCGAACCGGCTCAGAGCGGAGACACCTTGGCTGCGTTTTGTGTTTTCTCATGGCGTTCGGCGAGGTTTCTTCCGAGGTCCGTGAGCCCCCGACTCTCCGCCAGCACTTCAGCCCATCTCCTTCCACTGCCGGTAGAAATCCAGGATGTTCTTCACGTCCACGCCACTGCTCTGTGCTGCCCGCAGCGCAACCTGCGTCAGAGCGCAGACAGAGAGAGAGAGAGAGAGAGAGAGGACAGCGGTCAGACGCAGGGGACACTCCCAGGCTTGCGAGCACCCCCTCCAGTCTACCTTCACTGCCAACCCCCTCCCTGTCCCCGTCACCCCCTCCACCACCCCCAGCCCCCTAAATCCCCTCCCTATCACTCCCTCACGAAGGTGGGGGTGGTGGGGGAGGGAAGAGTGGAAACAGGGTCAGAAAGATTCCTGTTGCCTTAGTGCGGGTCACCTGTACGTGGCTGGAGAGCGCGCCCGGATCATCTGGTGAGAATTCCGTCAGGATAGTGACCATCCCTGCCAGCTCCTCCTCTCCGCTGCCCTGCGACACAGTCAGTTGCTTGCAGCTGTCCAGGATCTTGTACAAATGCCTGACACAAAACAACGCACACTCCAACAGTGAGACAACACTCAACGCTCCACGTCTCACACCCACTTGGCGGGAAACGGGGACTAATGCTCCAGAGGCAGGGATTCAAATCTCTGCCAGCAGAAACTGGAAGAATTAAATTTAATTCATGAAATAATTTAGGAATTAAACTCTAGTCTTGGTAACAGCTACTGGGTTGTCATACAAAGTCTTCTGCTTCGCTGATGTCCTTTGAGGAAGGAAATCTGTTACGCTTACCCAGTCTGTGGCTCCAGTCCCCTGACAAAGTGGCAGTTTCTCAACTGCCCATTAACAGGGAAAAGCATTGGATTAGGGAAGAAATGGCAGCCTCGCCAATGACGGAATAGACATCACTAAACTCCATCTCAATCTTTAACAGCGCTTGGAGTAATATATTTACATACCAGCGGGGGCTGTCGGAGGGCCAGCGCCGAGGGGAGCGGGGGCTGTCGGAGGGTCAGCGCCGAGGGGAGAGGGGGCTGTCGGAGGGTCAGCGCTGATGAACAGGGACAACGACTGCCCTCTGGTTTAAGAAGCAACTCATGCATGGGGAACCGATAATCCGGGCTCATTCGCGCCGCATCTGTGCCAACAGGCTTGCCAAAACAGGCTGCAAACACCAGAGCACAGACCAACTCTCCACGCTGCTTCTTCACCTGTCAA